ACAGGATTTTTAGTGTCTGAAAGTTGAAACTAAGCAAACTTTAATAAAAAAAAAATAATTTTCTTGAAGCAGTCAGGGTGACAATAGATGTGTTTTTCCGCCCCTCATCCTATCACTCAGTATTCTTTACTCAAGTCTAAATTATGTATCTTTCTAAAACACCATTCCATACTTCAAAGATGGAGTCTTTTGCGCTCAATCAGGAGATGATAGATGGAAATCCCGTGCCTGCAGTGTGCACAAGAAATGCAGCCCCTAGTCCAGTTTGGTTGTGAATAACCTTATAGGTAAGGAAATGGGATTTGGAACAGAAAAAGAACAAAAAACAAATGGCTCTGCTCATGGTACTATCTCAGTTTGTCCACTGGTGGTTTAGATTTATTTCCTGCTGAAAACAAGGAGTGTCCAGTAGGTGTGTCTGGGCTTTGTGTTGTTTGTGGGCTGGCAAAGCCCAGTCCACTGCAGAGTTATGAAGGGGGCACTGGGGTTGGTAGTGGAGGTGTTGGATGATGGTTTCCTCAGGAAGGAAGTGAGAAGACAGGAGTGGCTGAGGGACAAATGGGTTCCTAGGACAGCATTACTGCAGCTTCCTTGCCAGCTGCTTTTGGAAGTCATGTTGCTTTCAAGTATTTATCTGTGGGAACATTCTAGTATTTAAGTCCATAAAGGTGGTTATTCCTTAAAATCTAGCCTATGTCCACTTCTGCTTTTCCTAGAGGATTTCTTTAAGGATGTTTATGTTATACTATAGAAAAGCGGCCTTCCTTCAGAAGTGGAAGAAATGCCCTGGACTACAATGCTCTACCAAGAAGAAAGCTTAACCATAAAATATTATGGGTATGGCAGCTACTTCAGTTATGTGCTAATATGCACACTTGTTCTATCTTAAACAGCACAGCAAATGCAGTTCTGTGATTGTTGCAGAGGAGGCTTTTAGCCCTACATCTTTCTTCATGGAGAAAACCACTTAATTTTTAAGGTGTCTGTCTATATACTCAGTTGTTTGGGTTTTTTTAAAATGTATCTATCAGAGACTGTTATCCAAAGAACTTAACTTTAGTATAATGTCTGAATATGCTTAAGGCTTTGTTTCCATGCAGGTAACTAAGGCAGCTATAAAACTGGAGAGGTATGTTCATTCCTGTGAGCTATTCAGCTGAGTCACCTTGACTTTTCTTGTGTTTTCTGCCATTGCTCTGTGCTGTTTGTCTCTTTTAAACCCTTCTTGAAGAGCATAACACTTCTCATTGCAGCTTTGGCTGTCCTGAACTTCCCTTGATATGATATAGGCTTACTTTTGCTGCTCACTGCTCCTCCAGCATGGCTTCTGTCTCTGAGTAGATTTCAAGGTGTATTTCTTACAGTTGGAGGTCATTATTTTTGATGGCACAGTTAACCTAGGTCTTTCTGGGGACTTAAATTAGTCTTACAGTCTGAACATTGTGTTTATTTTGGCTTTTGTCCTTCAGCAGTAGGATGGATCTACTTGTCCATCAGGGGTATGCATTAATATGAAGGAGTCTGCCAGAAACAAATTAGTTGGCCAGGAGATCAAATAAAGATTTTTACCCAGGGCAGAGAGAGACAACTCAGTGCCTTATACTTTTCAGTGCTTAACTGTCTATAGCTTTGAATTCTCTGGAAAATAGTAAATATGTCACTTCCCCCATTTAGTTCATGATTCATTTAGGTAAAGATACTGACATTCCACTTCCAAGCTCAGGATTTTTCTCTTGTGGTGGAATTTTTTTCTCATTCAACTATTAAAAGATCTTTAAAAACATACTAGGTTTCTCTCCCCATCCTCCAGGCCCCACCAGTAATGAATGATCTGTTTCTGTAGTGAGTTTCAGTCTGCCCTTAGTGGAATCCTCTTAGTACATTCAGTAATGGTTCCCTCTGTTATCAGTTCCCAACATAGCCCTTTTGTCTTGTTTTTCTCCTAGGACAGTAGGAGTGAGCAAGTCCCTAGTAGTCTACAAAAGGATGAATCAGCTGTCTTTTAGGAGTTTATCCTTGAATTTAATCTCAGTGTACTTGTTTGATGTTACCCTGGGGAGCAAGGAGATGGAATGTTTCATTTGAAGGCTGATCAGTTTCTTAGTTGTGTCATTTCTTTTTGTGTACATTTGAGAGGGCTTGAATACTTGGATATTAGATGTACTGTATCAAATTATATTGACTAAATATCAGCTTCTTGCAAGGGCTCTTCACCTTTCTTATGATGACTAAGGAGATCGGAGGATTATCAGTTTCAGTTATGGAAAACTAAGGCTGTAAGAACATGGCTTGATGCAAAATACTTGAGGTTTAATTATGGTTTATTCAACCAGAGCGAGGCCAGAAATGAACTCTTGTATGAAGATTGTCAGCTGCTGAGATCCACAGAACTGCTCACTAGGACTGAGATGACCTTTTTAATAACTGCTATGTCTTTAGTTGGTCCTCCATGATGCTCTAGGACTTTGAGGATGGCAGGCCAGATTCTTGAACCCTTCTCCAGGTTTATTGGTTGTTGACTGCCACTTAGGAGTGTCCACAGTATATGTGCCTGCAGGGGAACATTTCAAGAAAGTTGAAGAGAATCCTGTAAGTGCTCTTGGAAAGTTGTTATCTGCAGATTCCTAGGCCATCTCTTTACTCTCTTCCCCAGTGCTTCAGAAAGACATGAGGACCCTTGGACTGAAAGGAACAAGGGAGAAAGGACTGAAGGGAGAATAGCATATTCTACCCCTTTTATAGCATACAGGTGATACACCTAGGGGTAAGAGCTTACCCCACACCTTTCTTGGACACTTCAGAAGTAAATTTTTCTGATTTGAAGAGTGCTTTTATGTAGGTACATGGAGATAAGACATCTGGGAGCACAATTTTAAGTAGTACATTTCCCTCTGCTGTACAGCATCTGTGTATATCAGCATTTGTCTGTGAGTGTGATGATTACTCTTGACAGTCATTCTTTAGTAGTGTCAATATTATTGCCTTCCTCTTTTTTTGCAGATTTTAAGGTTTCTTTACCATTTACTTGTGGTACCAGATTTCTTACTAACTACTACAGAAAAGAGGAAAACTGTACTCAGTGTTTTGGTGATCATGCCACTTCTGGAGTTTTATTTGCTAGTGATCAGCAAAACAGATATTGCAGAAGTGTAGGAATATTACTATTATGCAAACTAGTTTTTTCTAGGTTCTCCAAATTATGTTAGAAGCAACATAATGCCTGTGTGTTTTCATTTAGCCAGGAATGAACTCTGGCTAATTCAGAGTGTGGTTATTGCTCTTTACATAAACTCATACCAGGTGAAGATAGGAAGAGAGCAGACTGGTGTAAGTTATCTTTGTAATTTGCTCAAAGTAGCACTGGGTATCAGCCAGCTATCCCCCAGTGAGTCTTGTTCTTGCATCAGTTTTATCCTCAAAAAAAAAAAAAAAAAGTTCCCAGGCTATCACTATAGAAGCTTTCCACATAATCTGTCTCCCTTCTCTCAATTCCTGGAGACCTATTGACACTTGTGAGTCTTGTGAATGGTGATTTTTCTCCCCAGCTTGGGGGCTTGGTCTTAATTTCCAGATCCTGGAAGGAATTGTGAACCTAAATATATAAAGGTGTTATGTGATAACATAATTTTAACATAATTTTTGAGTCTTTATGATTTGATAGTGTCTATGAAGTCTGACTGTCAGATGACTTTATTTGAGGAAAAACTGAAGGGAAACTTCTTATATGTAAGTAGAATATTAAAATAAATGGGAGGAGAGAATATTTAGTGGAGAAAATTGGGATGTGGAGTAGCTGTACTTTTTTTGTGTAAGACACACATTTTTGCAACTAATAATTTAGTTTTTACTGGGAGTTTTATTAAAATTTACTGTATTGTCAAGTGTTCCAAGATACATGTAAATGTTGTAGTCTAATAGTAATTAATTTATATAAGGCACTTTTATATGCTTCTTCATGGTAAAAATAATGCTCTAGCATCAGTAGGATTTGAGACTTCTTTTTACAAAGCTCAGTTTCTCCCTCTGCTGAACAAGACAAGCCTTCTCAGCTTTACTTTCCTTCCACTTCTCTTTCTTCCTCCTACACTTCAGGTGTGTGGGTTTCGATATGTGTGCAGTTTTTTCTTTCTGCAGCAAGTCTCTGCACTAAGTGTCTGGAGTAGACTACACTTAACTAGTCAATGCTTTTTCAAAGTGTACTGTTAAAATCAAGGAGCTGAGCAGGATGCTAAGCTATTAAGCCAAGATGAACTTGCCAAATGCAGCAGTTAGAGACATATCTGCTCTGCACTCCTTCACTGAGGTTTCCACCTCCACAGCAGCTTTAGCAGAAGGGGCTATGTGAGTGCCTTCACCACAAGCTTATGCTGAGAAAGTAGGTCTACAAGGAGATACCAGACTGTTCCTTGGCAGATGTCTGTTTTCTTCCCTCATCTTCACTGTGAATGAGTTAAGCTGTGATAGGGAAGCTCATCAGGTAAGATTTTAACTCCCTACCACTGGTGTGGATGGGCAATTTATTATTTGCTTTTAGTAAAGCCACTAATCTGAGTTTGATAAAATGAGTATTTGCAAAAACCTAATTCTTGACTTCTGAGTTCTGGTTTTAAATGTGCTAATTAGCCCATGGCTTTAGGTAATTGATAGTTCACAAGTACCATACTTACTAAGGTGTCAGTGTAAAATAATTACCATGGGTGAGATTGCTTCCTAATGCTGTTGCAACAAATAATTTAGTTACCCTGAGGAGAAGTACTCTTATTAGTATGTATTGGTGTCACATTGCTGGAAAGCTGATCAGTTCTTCCAAGTGTTTGCTGCATGCAAGAGTTGTGTATCTGGAAATACAAGATTTGGCAGCTGCTTCTAAATCAAACAAGTGAAGTGCTGAATGCAAACCCAGCCTACCAGCAGGACATGAAAGACTTCAAGAAGAAAGTACATGGTTGTTGTTTATTTCTTCAGCAATTCTTCTTTACTTTTGTCTTCATACAATGTAGGCAAGCATTGCCAATGATCCTTGGTCCAGCTGGAATGTTGGGAAGTCTGGGAACTGGGATAATGGAAATGCTGTTGACAGCTGGGCAACAAAATCTGAAAGTGCACCTGGCCAGAGAAACAGCACTTCAAATAACTGGGAGGCGGCAGCAGCATTTGGTCATCCACAGGCATATCAAGGACCAGGTGTGCTAATAATGCTTGGTTTTTTCCTTAATAAATTAGAGTAGGTGGACAGTAGAGGTAAGAATTATTTAATATTTCGTAACTATAGACCATGGCTTATTTAAAAAACAAAACCAAACCACTTTCCTAATACCACATTGTCATGTGGGTAAGCTGGGCACTAAAATAATAGGGGTTTTAAAAATTAAATAATTTTTTTAAAAAATCGATTTCACAGTAACAAACACCTCAAACTTTTATGGAAATCTGACAAACCAAAGTCAGATTGTGCATTCATGATCTATTCTCAGGCATGTTGTTCAGTTTGCATAACTGGAACTTTTAAAATCCCTTGAATTTGTGCTCTCAGGCCTTTGAAGGAATAGTCTCTTAAATCCTTAATTTTAAGAACTGACCAGCTTTTCTTCTACCTTTTTGTAGTAGCTGCCTAAATTAAGGGGACAACCCATAATTGAGGAATGCTAATTTGTTCCATATTCATAGACTATGGAACATGGTTGAGTCCATCTTAACACATCATCATCTCTTCATTAATTTTTATTTTCTTTATTTCCCCTCTCCCTCAGTGGATTTCTAGTGCACTGCTTTGCAGGTTGTATCTGATGGGGATAATGCTAATTGAGGAGGAATTGTAAAATAGAAGGCTGAAAGAGATTTTAATATATTTACCTGGTTAATTATTTATATGTGAGTGCTGAAGTACCTGCTTCTGCTTTTGAAGAGAAATTATGTAACTTTCTCCTTTCCTGTCCCCTGATCCCTCCTGTACTTCAGCAGCTGCTGATGACGATGATTGGGATGATGACTGGGATGACCCAAAATCAGCTTCACCATCGTACCTTGGTTACAAGGAGACTGAGGCATCAGAGGCTGGGGGGGTCCAGCGTGGAAATTCTCGTGCAGCTGCTATGAAGCTACCACTTAACAAGTAATGGAAAATGCAAGGGAAATGTGTATATATTAAAGAGAATTGGAATTTGTCAAGATGTGTAAATTCAACATCCTTGAAATAAGCAATGTTAATATTACTGTTTTCAGGCAGAAGAGAAGGTGAATTTGTAGTTCAGCATACTCCTTAAGCAAGCAGAGGACACAGATCCCTGAAAGCTTGAAAGAACATGATAAAGCTGTATAATTTTTGGAGGTGTCATACAGGCAGATGACACTATCACAGTGCTTGAGCTTCAAGTTTTTAAAATTTGACTATTTTGGACAGTTTGTTCTTAATGTGGTGGATGACTTATCCATACAGTAGAAACTGATCAGAGATGCTGCACCAGTTTGTGAGCAATCTGAGTTTCTAGTGGGGAAAGGTTCTGTTCTACTGTGTTTGTGCATCATCCAAGTTGTTTCTTGACCCACAGAAAGTTTGATTTTATAGATAAAAATCTTACAGTAGCATCAAGCTTTGTCAGAGTTATACTAGCATTGTCTCAGGTTGCAGCTTAATGTTTGTTTATTCTAAAACTGCTTTCCTCTGAGAGCTGGTGTGTGGTAATCTCTAAGTGGATGAAATCAGAGTGGAAAAGGATTTTAAAATAATGGTTCCTTAGGTATTTAACTAAAATCAACTGTCTCTGCATGACTAGTTAATTTTGTTCATCAGTGGGTTTTTGTGTCCAGTGTTGCATGAGTACCTATACATCATTGTTTACTTGTAAGCTCACAAAAATACCTTTTTTAAGAGATTTTTTTTGTCTGTGGAGTAAGTCCTGCTATACTGTTTGAGTTTCTGCAAGCAGGTTGGCAATACTTCAAGGGCTAATTATCTTCCTAATTAGAAAGAGAACCACCATTTGATTTTTATAAAGACTTTTGTAAGACTTTTGGAATATTATAGTGGTTGTCTGGCTTTCTTTTAATTGGTGAATAAATTATTTAAGATAACTCATGTTTAGAAGCACTTGATAGATCTTCTGTTTATCATTCTTTCAGATGATTGAGTTCTTGTAATTCAAAATCTCAGGTGCATGGGCATCTGTGTGTGTGTGGTGTTTCCAGAGAGGGTGGGGCTGCAGGAGTGATAGATGTTACTTTGTGTCTTCCTGTAATGTTTGGTATGATGGTCAGCAGAGCAGGAATAGCCACTTTGCTCCGCAAGAAGGAGCCTATTACACACACAAACACACAAGACACACATGAAAAACCTGGATGTCAGTAGCCAAAACTTTTCTGCTTTTTTCAGTGCAAAATGGTGATTGTTACAGTAATCCACATAAACTATTTTCTATGCTTGAGAAATACGTAGGGTTTTTTTCCTGTAATGTCAGGTAGTATTGCATATGTCAAAGGAAGGAGAATTAATTAATCACTTAATTTTATTGTTAGGTTTCCTGGATTTGCAAAACCTGGAATGGAACAGTATCTGTTGGCAAAGCAGCTAGCAAAACCCAAAGAAAAAATTCCCATAATTGTAAGTTGGGATTGTGTATAGTTTTTCTGTGTGGGTCGTAGGGTTTTTTTTTGTTTGTTTGTTTGGTTGATTAGCTGGGTTTTATAATCCTCTTCACCTTTCCCTATTTTCTCAACTAAACTTTTATCCTCAAGGTTGCTGTATATATTTGGGTCAGAAGAAACTGGTACTGAACACATAATTAGAAATAGAACTGTCATAATAAAAATCATAAGTATGATGATGACAATTATTTTCAGTACTTTTTTCCTCATATTGTATCTGCATTATTTGTGATGAACATATGCCTTTTTGGGATTGGGATGCAGAGCAAATGCATTACATTGCCTGTTTGTTATCTAGATTGTTACATGTAGGAGCTACATTTATAGAGGTTTGTAATATTCAGTCCTGATGGTCAGGTCATTTTCTGATCTGAAGACCAAACTCTTCTGTCTATATGCTGTTCTAGCAAAATGTGGTTGAAAAAGCCCTAGAATTCACCATTCCTTTGTTATTTGGTAAAAATTGTAAAATACACAAGATAAAGTCAACTGTGGTCTTTTGTTCCTGATTGCAAGAAGCGTCTCTGCTTCCAGACTCAGCCTCTCACTAAAATCAATGGAAGCTCTCAAGTGAAGAGAGAAGATATTTGTCCCCTTGTTTGCAGCTAGTGCAACATGATGTATTTAAAGATACTATTTGCAATTTCTTACAGATTGGCGATTATGGCCCAATGTGGGTATATCCTACCTCTACATTTGACTGTGTGGTGGCAGATCCCAAAAAAGGTTCTAAAATGTATGGTCTCAAGAGCTACATTGAGTATCAGCTGACCTGCACTGTAAGTGTATCTGAACAGGATCTTTTGTCTCACAAATATGTGTCATTTGTACATATAAATAGAAATTGTGTGACTTGGTAAGAGCATTGCAAGAGTAAGTGGTAGTTGTCAAATTCTTTTACCCCAAAGATTTTCTTTTTTCTAGAATTTCAAGTTCTTCTCTATTAAGGCTCTAATTAATAAATTTCATTTACATTCCATGTGGTTACCATTCTGATCATGCTTGTTTCATGTGACTGTGTGTAGATGCCTGTCCAAGTTCAAAGTTGTGTTTCTCTTACAGAACACTAATCGGTCTGTCAACCACAGATACAAGCACTTTGATTGGTTGTATGAGCGGCTCCTGGTTAAATTTGGATTAGCCATTCCAATCCCTTCTCTTCCAGACAAGCAAGTAACAGGTAATTATTCCCAGTTCTGAATTCATGGAATGGGAAATAAGGAAATCAGATTTTTATAAGGTTCATGTTTCTTACTGTTTGTTTTTCCCATTATTTTTAAAGAAGGTGACAAAGAAACCCCAGCTTTTCTCCACTCATAGCTTATGATGAGTTGTTATAACTGATTGATAATAACAGATCAATACTATGAGAATCACTTCAAAACTCAGGTTCAATTATCTAGTCTAGTGATTTAAAAAAAGGTAATTAAAAGCAAAACAAACCCCCCTTGTTACTATGTGAGATAATAATTACTATTGGAGAAAAGAGATAGCTACTTATATTCTGTATTTGCTGATTGGCTGGGCAAATGGTTTTGCTTGGGGTTTTTTTGAGGTTTGGGGAAGAACGTGCATTGTGTTTGGTTTTGTTTGGGCTTTTGTCTTTTGCATTTGATATGTTATGTTGTAGGAGCTTTGACACAAAGTTCCCAGAGGAAAAGGAGAATCCTCTGAGTGGTTGGGATGGGGATTTTTTGCTTCCAGGTGAAATGTTGCAGCTGTTTCTCCTCTTGCTTGATTTCACACTTGATTTAGAAAGCACCTTTCATTCAAATAGTGTTCTGCTCTGGTTTGATGTTAGTTCAGCTTGACCAAACTGTCGGAAGCCTGTGGAAATCTTTTGTTCGGACTTCAATAAAAGTGGGATTGGGTCCTTTAAATGCACTTAAGTTTAGCCATTGCAACAGAATATGACAATGTGTATGCATTTTCAGTAGTCTCTGGCTTATTTTCTACAAGTATAGGCTAAAGTGCCTGTGAAGGAAAGAACAGACACCACTATAGGAGGAAAATGCATTACTTTAGCCCATTTCCACCTGTATGTTTTCTGGTAAGATTATACAGCGTTTAAGATAAACAGCCAAAACCAAACATACAAGCATCGGCATGTTGCCAACCACATGGCTGTGGGCATCACTCAAAATGCAGCAGCTCTGCTGTGTTTGAAGAAAGCTAAGCATTGATGAAGTTGCTGGGATAAATGCCGAGGAAACTGAAAAGTGAGGAAGTGACTTCTTCCCCTTAGCCTCGTGTTTAGAATTGACCAGCATTTTTATTAAACATGTGCATGTCTGTTAACAGGAAACCAGAAGACATGATGGGGTCCCTAGATTTCATTGTAACTATATCTTAAAAGACCCAAGAGTCTGGCATCACATCTTGGCAAAATCCATTGCCTGTGAATTTCTGTCTTCTGGAATCTGTGGGAGAGAATACCTTGCCCCATGCAAAAAAATAATACTTTTTTAAAAAAAAGCGTGTCTCTTTTTCTGAAATATGAAGAAACTGGAAAAACAGTGCTTATCTTTCACTGTGTTTAGGAGACTTCTTTCTGCAGACTGACTGCAAAAGCATTTCTGTCAATTTGTCTTGACAGAACAAGACTCTGGATTGACTTTGTCAGGATCCTGGTTTTAATGACATACTGGTGATGATATGCTTAATGATCACCATGTAACTTCCAGCTACTGCTGTTCTGGTGTTCTGCACTCTTTGCAGGAATGCTGTAGAGATTTCTGTATAGATTAAAAGTGAAGCAAAGAATTACTGAAGGATATGGAATGTCTCTTCCATGGTGTTTGATTTTTTTTTTTTTTTTGCTAATTTGCAGAAAAAATGTCCATACACAAATTTCATTTTTCATTAGCTCTGTTATTTACCTGCTAGTCTTGCTAATTTCCATATTTGCAAAAAACCTAAAAACCCAAAAAAACCCATAACCCAAACCACAAAAACCTCAACTTTGTAGATCTGCTGCCATAGTAACTGTGCAGTAGAATTATGTTGGAACAGTACATGTGTTCAAAGCGTGTCATCTGTGCTGCTGTGGAAATCGGAAGAGTTGGGTGCTGGAAGAATCTCTCTTTCCTTACTAATCCCGTTCACTGTATGCTATAGAAGTCTGATGTCATGCATTTTTTTAAATTAAAAAGGATTCTCCCAAGATGACAGTTTCTACTAAAACTAAAAGGTTCTTATGAATACGCAGTGATGATGCATGACTGGTTTAAGAAAAAAATGGCTCTTTTTTAGTCTGTATTAAAAATATCTTAAGTACCAAAAAAATCAGTTACAGTCTTACATATTCGTGTATATTCTAACCAGTTTATGCATATGATGTATTGATATTTTTTTATTTTTTCCCAGTTTACCTATATGGGAAGTATGTTTAGAGGAGGGGACTGCTTTTTAAATCTGTGATTTGTATTTGAGTAATTTCAAATATTTTTGAGCAGTCCAATTTCAATGTTTTCTGATTAGTTTAATTTCAATGCTTTGTTAGCTTGTACAGGCAACTTGGAATGTAGTTACTTTTTCTTTAATGGTTTTGAACCTCATATTGACCAAGGCTTTACTAAACTGTACCAGAAAAATACTTGCCTTCCAAGCCTGTGCCTGGCTTTTCTCTTGGGTCATCTGAATACCTAATTTTTTCATCCAAAAGTTTATTAGTATTTTCAAAAAAAGTTTTTGAATTGTGGGTGGGTATTAGGTTTTTGTAGTATTTTGTGGCTATCTTAAAAAGGATGAGAAGTCTCAATCAGTAATCAATATACTGTAATTTAAGATTCTTTTCATTTGTTAGCATAATGGGCCATTTATTTATGAGTTGGATTCAATAATTTTTATGAGTCCGTTCCAACTTAGGATTCTGTGATAGTTGTAAGTTCTGAGTCATTAAATTGTTAATAACTCACCAGATAAATTACAGGTTATTTCAATTTAAATTTAAAAAAAAGAAATTTGAAGGTACTAGCCTGTAAATGTAACAATTATTGTTCAATGTGTAACAGGGCGCTTTGAAGAAGAATTTATCAAAATGCGCATGGAGAGGCTGCAAGCTTGGATGACGAGAATGTGTCGCCATCCTGTTGTGTCAGAGAGTGAAGTTTTCCAGCAATTTCTCAATTTCCGAGATGAGAAGGTAGGAAATGAAATAAGGTTCACACACAAACTGAGACTGAGGAATTGCTGTCCCCCCACACTCCCCCTTCAAACCAAGAGTTTGGCGCTGTAGCCACCCCACTGTGGGCAGTAGTGCTGGGCTGGAAACTGCTGGGATTCCTAACTCAGCTGATTGATCAAAACAAGGCATAGAATTGTTCTGGTGGAATGCTACACACCATTCCCACACAGTTGTGCTCTTCAAAGTAACTTTGTTGCCTGTCTTTCAAGGGACAGTTTGTATCCTCCAGCAGAATGGGAGCATATATAAAACCCTTCTGGCTGTTGCCCTGCTCTGTTTCTGCTGGATTTGGTAATCCCTATGATCCTCTGAGTGGTGCTGCTCTGCTAACAAAAGCTAATTCATAGCAGATTTAGGTTGTGCCTGATCCTGTATTATATTTAAAAACAACCCCCTGCCCCCATCCCCATCCCTCAAAACCACAGTTTTTCCACTGAAATGGGTTGTAATAGCACTATGTTGCAGCTTTATCTGATATAAACAGTCATTTTTTTATTCACACACACTTTATTATGTTTTTTTAAAAAGAGATTTTAATATCTTCAGTAAAGGATAAATAAAGTAAGTAAATTTTAGTAAATAACGGTTTCTTTATGATTGAGCTCCAGCTCTGATACTAATTAGGAAATAAACAGAAAAACTCTGCTACTTTCTCCTCAAAATATTCATACTTTTGAATACACATAGAATTTGCTGAAAATGTAAATTTTCCAATCTGGTCTTAAAAATTTCCAAGGTTCAAGTCTGCTGTGACTGAGGTCACAGCTGACCAGTTTTGAGTTGAACTACCAACATATTTCTAACCAGAATTATTCTGTGATCCTGTAAGTAGAGGCTTAATAACATAGTGAGTACTAGTCCTGGTGAAATGCTAGTTGGATGGTTAGTGGGGAGTTGTATAATTCTGCCAGCTAGTCAGCACTTCTTAGTTTCTTATTTATAGATGTATAAACAGAACAGATGTTGCAATACTTTTAACCACTAAGAACTTAGTATAATAATTAATTGCATAATAGTTTCATGATCTTCTTGAGCAGCTTCTGATATGGGACTTATCCTATGTGTGGAGACAGCTGAATATAATTGTTCTTACGCTGTATCTCAGTAATACACAAGAAGGGTCTGTTGACCCCAGAATTTAGATAACAAAGTTCACAAAGGAGGAGAGGGAGATCTTTGGGAAACTGTAAAAAGCTTTGGTTTCTCTGAAGATTTCATTTCTTAATGAAAGGTTTTAATTCAGGGGTGGTCTATTGATTAACAGTTCTCCTAAACATTTAATTCACTCCTTAAGCACATGCCTTTAAAGAAGGATGAGTGGTGTCAAATGTTGAGCCTCTCTTTTCTTTTCTTTTTTTTTTTTTTCCTTCTTTTTAAGGAGTGGAAAACTGGAAAGAGGAAGGCAGAAAAAGATGAAACTGTAGGAGTCATGATCTTTTCTACAATGGAACCAGAAGCTCCTGACTTGGACATGGTAGAAATGTAAGGTGATTTTTTTTTTTTTTTGTATGTGTATTATGCATCTGGGTATACAACAGATGCTGATGTAATCCAAAACTCAGATACTAAATGTACGTGTATATTCATGGATTTGAAGAGGTATTCATCAAGGCAGAGCTGAAAATGTGTTTAAATAATGAGATTTTTGTATCAACCACTCCAATACTTGGTGGAACTCTATGTGATGTCTTTTTGACTTCAGTGGCTGAATGCTGATCCTAAAACAATCTATGTAAAACTAGTTGATGGGATAGAGTACTGATCCAATGGAGTTATGTTTTATATGGCTGTGGAAGTGTGTTTTGATCTTTAATATTTCAACACTTCCAAAACATGCTAAACTTACCAAGTAGTTTAGGATAATTGTAGATGGACCAATAAAAAAAACAGTTTCTGTAAAATAGTATGTAATGTACGCACAGTATGATTTGAATATCTGTAATCCATGGAAAGCTATTAAAAATGAAAAGTGATTTAAATTGTCACATTTCATTCTGGAAGTGCAAATGGATATATTTATTTTATATATGTGTATATTACATATACATGCACTTTTTAATGTATATTTTGTAGGTGATAAAATTTTGGGTTTCACAGAGTTAAAGACTGGATTTACAATCCAGCCTTTATTTCACTCCTTTAGGCTTAGAAATTTTTCTTAGAAGATGTAGTATGTATGACATGCTTTTCTTACTGTTCTGGAACACAGAAACCTGGATAATGTTTTGTGTGTACGTGTGGATAAACTGAATAGAAGTGTTTTTAGTAGCAAAGCAGTAGTGTATCTACACCCAATACAGGCTTTATGCAAGTGATGCAGTGCATGTTGAGTGGATGTAATGGCTGTGTGGCAGCAGTTCTGTACCAGCAGAAAAGCATGCACATTTTTAGGTCACTTACACTTCAACCTTGACTACTTCGCTTTAGTGGTGTGATTTCTGTATATTCCAGCGGTGTAAAAGCTGGAGGGGTGAATACGAGGGAGGATGCTCTACCCAGAGTACATACACACTCCTGGCAGAGAGTGCCCAGCATGTGGTCTGCTAAACAGTTTGTGCCCAAGCAGGGAGGGCACACCAGCCCCAAGAGAATACTCACTAGGGGGATGGGTTCCTGGGCTGGGGCTGGCAGCCTGGAGTAGTACTGGGGACCTATTTCCAAGCAGTTGCAGGGGTGGCTGTAACATCTCAGATGTCCACATGTTCTAGTGCATGGAAATGCTGTTAAAAGTGTGTGTGAGTCTTGAAAGCCATTACTCCACTTAAAACGTAGACAAAGCAGCTTGTTTAATAACTCTTAGATTCTTCAGTGTGAAGATGTTCTTTACTGAACAACTTTGCTAGTATTTTTGGAGTCCTGCACAGGTTCATAAGCATTTTCAGTGATCTTGAGACCATAAAATATGAAGCTTAGAAAATTACAGGATGTTTTGCCCCTGAGTAAAGAGAAGTAAAGCAAGAGCCTCTTAAAAAGCCCAGGTGCTGGTTTTGTGCAAATAACTGTGTGTATGGTTTCCAGCTGAGGAACAAAGTGCTGGTGGGGAAGTGGGAATCTCTAGGTTGTTGGGCCACAGCTGGAGCTGCTGTCCTGGCTCTGGGGAGTCACTCAGTGTCCCCTTGCTGTTACAGCTGTCTCATGCAGGCTTTGGCTGAGATAATTTGAAAGATCAGATGCAGTTTAAATAAATCTTGTATGAAATTATAAAATATACGTTTAGTTTTCTTCTGTAGAGTTCACAAATCACTGCTGTGTATGCAGTGCTGTGTTAATGGAAAACTCTGATAGCTGCATGCAAACATGATTTAAGAGGAATACAAAGGCACATACTAATTCAGAATTCTCCTTTTTTGCTCTCTATAATGCAACTCGGCACAATGATATTGATAATATAATATGAAAGTATGCATATATATTTCCCTAGGAGAGTTGCTATATTACTTTTTATTTGCCTATGTTAGACTTCTATCAAAATATCTGACACAGTTATTTTCTTTTTATTTTTTCATTGTTGTATGAATTTCACTATTTCTATTACACTATAATAAGAGTGCTAGTTCAGTGCCATGTGTCTACAAGGCACTCTAACAGAGGAGGAAAAATGGAACAAATAATGCCTATATATAAAGAGGGGAATTCTGAATTCAGTGACATGGCAGAAATTTCAAGGAATGCATTTATATCTCTGATACTTTTTGAGACAGAGTTGACATTGCTTAACATTTTAGTATTACATTTAAAGTTAGCATTATGCATCTATTAAACTGCCTTTTGTTTTCGCTTTTTCAAAATGCCACAGAGAACAGAAATGTGATGCAGTGGGTAGGTTCACCAAAGCAATGGATGATGGAGTTAAAGAGCTGCTGACAGTGGGACAAGAGCACTGGAAGAGGTGTACAGGGCGTAAGTGTCCTTCTGAACTCAGCACTCATTTCTGTGGTGCTTTTCACTCTTCTTTTTTTTCAATGTATATAACTCAAGGCACATCTTTAAAGAAACTCCTAAATTATCATGGGAATTGTATGGCATTCTGGCTATTTTAAGTCGCAGAGTAAAAATTGTGCAAGTTTTTTGTTAGTATGTTTGATGTGGGGCTTTTTGTTGGGTTGATTGGGGTTTTTTCTTTATTTCAGAAATATTTGTTCCCTGCCCATAGGTTTAAAAATACTTAAAGTTAAATAATTCTAGTGATGCAGCTGAAGCCCTTGTTGGACCTGTTCTCATATATTGCTCATTTATTTGAATTTTAGTGACATGGGCAAAATAGACCTGTTTATTTGATGAAATTATATTTTCAAATAATTGCATCTTATTAACCACTTATTTAGGATCCTTGCATGCTAGGAGGAGTGATTTAAAGATGAAATGAGTTTAAGAGAAAAAGAAAAGAAAAACCAACTTGATTCTAACTTAATCTTTAGCCCAATTCTTTTTTTTTTCCTATCTTGTCTCTTCCTTCCCACAGATATTTAGGGTTGCAGAACTTCACACCAAGTCCCTATGACTCTGCCTGGGCTCTAATTTCCTAGTCCACAGCAGTGTTCAGTGTTTGTGGCCACCACAAGGCAGCTTTTGAAAGGAAGCAGGTACTACAGCTGAGGATCATAATAAGAAACACTTCAGGGCAGGCTGTAGTGTCTGGCAACCAAAGACCTATCACATAAATCTCCTTGAACCACCTTAATTTTTTTTTACTCTCCTTTTAACTCCCACACAAAACCCCAAAATGTTGTCCCCAGAACGTGAAGTATATCTCCTGAGTTAAGTTTTTACCTCTTACTAATCAAACACTACAGCTGAATATTTGGGGCTGACCATAGAGAATGGGTAGTGTAGAAGCTCCTTCTCTCTTGGAAGTGATTACATTAGACTTTTGTATCTATAGGATGTTAACTTTAAATTATTTACATTTCTCAACTCTGAATGAGTTTTCTTCTACACACTACTGACCCTCCTGCTGGACAAAAATAGTCTAACACATGACAGAGCACTAACATGTTACAGATCTTGCTTCACAAGCAAATTATACTGAGGGGAAAGTGGAGAACAGGGGAAGGAATAAGTTTCCTCAGATGAGGCTAGAAAAACAGCATTGCTTTGCAGTTACAGAAGCAATGATAAAACCAAGGGCTGGCTGTGACTTGTGCTTACACTAGAAATTCAGTATTTTTTTATGCTAAGTTTAGTGTTCCTTAACTTACAACACTAGTGCTTTGGGTACTGAATGACTCTTTTAATACTTACAACTATTAATTCATTAGCATAGATACAGCAATACAATTTGTGTTTTTTAAAATCTTAAAATTCAATTTTTTTAAAAAAAACTTTTAATTTTCCAGACATTCATACTGAATACAAAAAAAGAGACTGGTAAACTGGAACATGCAAAATTTTAGTAGTCTCTTAGGTTTTAAATTCCCTGTCAGCTCTAGACTTGACTCTTAATCGGAAGTAGTTTTGGCACTTCCTGAGCAATAGTTACATGCCTTCCATTCAGTGAGATTTAAAATAATTGATAGTGGAAACTTCTTAAATACCCATGAAAAGAAACCAAAGCGTCTTCCCTAAAGTTTCCACTGGAGATTGAATATCTGGAGATTCAGAGTGTAATGGCTGATAACAGAACTCTAGTTTTCTAAATTGTATTCATAGCGTAAGACAGACCAGTTAGCATATACAGTCTGACTTGTGGAGAAGAGCTTGATCAAAGATAATTAATAAAATCAGGTGGTTGGGGTGGGATGATGATTAGGGGGTTTTGTGGTGGTTTTTTATACCACACAAAGGTGTTCTTCTGTAGAAATACTGTGGGATGCCAGAACAGCTAAAAAACTTCTATTTGCCTGGGCAGTATACCCTCTGAATACAAATATTTGATAACAAAACCCATATCTACTTGGAGTTTTGTTCTTCTAGCATAGGCAGCGTATAAAAAATTGCTTTTGCTTTTTAGGCCTCTGGAGTGGTGCTGCTCAAAGTGTTAATAATGAATGCACTCATAAATCACAGCTGATTGATGTAATTGTGATGGAGTAATTTATGCATGCATGTTCAATAAATAGATTATAAAAAACCAATTTTATTATTTAGATACTTGCATAATTTTTATACCTAGATAATATTGGTTTCTAGTGCCTTTAAATATAAAATTCATTAATTGAGGTGAGTTTAGGTATTATGGGTCTGTATAATAATCTCCTCTCTTAAAATATTAATGAGATCTATTCTCAATATCACACTGCAGCACTTCCCCCTCTTCCTTCCCCCATGAGGGGGAGGGGAAAAAAATCTCACTGTATACATAGGAGGTCTGAGATAGAAATGCAATGAGACTTATTATTTTTTTAATAGCATTCACACACTGTTTCCCTAACTGTTTGTACCTTTTAAGAATCCAGACTGCAATTGCTTTATCCAGTTTTGGAACATGTGTAGCAGGGGATGGGGTAAAGAATATGATTGTAAATGTGTCACTAGGGAAAATGTAAAATCTAGTTGTTTTTGACATCTGCTTCACCAAGTTTTGGAAATGCTGCAGATTTAGTCTCACTTACCCATGTTGGTTTTTTGCTTTTGTTTCCCCTCTTTTCCTCATCCTTTTCCCACTTTCAGCACTACCCAAGGAATACCAGAAGATAGGAAAAGCATTGCAGAGCCTGGCACTGGTCTTTAGCACTAGTGGATACCAAGGTATTTCTATAGTTTCATTTGTACTTTGCTTAAAAAGAGGTATTTTAATTACATCATGCCACATTTTTTTTTTTCTGAAGATGTTAATGCTTTCCTCTTTAAGATTTAGATGTCAAACATGGTTCTGAAAAAAAATCTGAAACCTTTCTTTTGTGTATGTTATGGGGTTTTTATTTTCTAGTCTGCAATAATCTTGTTTTCTCTCACTGTACAATCCTGTGGTGGGTTGGTGATGGTGGAAGAGTTTAGTTTGGTCTCTTAATATATAATCTGGTGACTGACCTAACCAACCAAACATGCTGTAGCATTTTTGTGGTATCAAAGGGAAAGGAGAGAAAATGGGGCCTTGAAAATAGCTGTCACAGAACTATTGTGCGACTTCATGATACAACTACTCCACATGGTGATGGAGAATTTACTACAATGTTTTATAATCCATTATGTAGGCTGGAGGGTTGGCTACTGTAGCTTTTTCTTGTCCTTCACCTTTGCTTCTCCTTCAAGAGCCCTGAAAAAGAGCATGTCATGTTAGGTATTAAAGTTGTGGGAGGGAAAAGGAGATCATAAATTGCTCAAAGTTTTCCTAAAATATCATCTTAAACCAAATTTAAAATATGTTAAGTGCTATTGAAGTTTTCCAGACAACTGGAAAATATTTCTTCATATAGAGGGTGTCTGCTGAGTCAGTTTTCCCCGAGAGTCTCCTTTCAAAGGTGTCTGAGGTTTTGGTTTTTTTTCTTTCTATACTTGATAGCAAAATTACTGTGTTCTAAAACCTTAAATGCTATAGCATAGAAGCTTCCTGAAATGTTTCCTTAGAAAAAATCTTAGAAATTTTAGTTGACCAGTACGTACTCTGACTATTCATTTATCTCTTGGTTTAAAATCTTAAAACATTTTGCCCCATAAATGATGTACTAAAATGCAACCTTTTGAAACATAGATTCTCTGCTGCTGGAAGTATTGGAAATAGGCACTGTCCCCATAGCTTCTTCTCATCTGTGTCCTGTACTTCAACAGGACGACTGCCTAGATAGAATTGAGCATAGCATATTGCCTAAAAAGTCACTTTTGGATGTGAAAATGAAATAGGGGATTTGCATGATTATGTATTCTTAGCATGGGTTAGAAAACTGTAAATCCTGCCTGGATAAAATCTGTAGCAAGAAGTCTTTGGAAAGGACTGAAAATTGATCGGGGTCTAGCACATTCTTTTGCCAGGGTAAAGGAAAACAGTATGTCATAAAATTGCAGATCAGCCTTAGAAAGGAGAGTTTTGATTTGATTTCCAGCATCTTTGAATGGTATGAAAAAATTGATCCTATGATAGTTTGGGAACAAGACAAGTATGTCTCTCTGCTTTCTGCCCAGTCATAGCTTGACATATCTTGTTGAGACAAATACCCTTCCTACAGATGCCTTTGTCTTGATTCCACGTTTTGCTCTGTTCAATAACTTGTGCCCTTATATTATTTCCAAATTAATAATAGATGGGATTCTTTTATTTTAATTTGAGTTCCCAGGAAGAGAGAGCAAGTAAGATGCAGATGTGGCTTTAAATGGCTTAATCACTGCTTGTCTCAGTCTATCTTGCCTGCTGCTTATGTATGGATTCTCATGATCATTCCATCAGGTACAGATCTGTGGATTAAACAGACTCTCTGCAAGAGATGTAAGCACCTGGATTTAAACTGATAGGGCACAGCTTTCCAGATCTCAGTATATAAAAGACATTGCTTCCAATGAAGAAGTAGTAGCTAGGATGAGTATGATGTATAATTTTTCTGGACTGTCAGTAAATAGGAATGGCTCATTCAGCCATGCTTAAGGACACTGTTCAGTTTCTGCTGGGAGATGAATCTCTTCATCCTTGTTTTTTTTTTATTTGGTTGGGTTGGTTTTTTATATTTTTTGTAATACTAGTGTTCTGAAAGTTTAAGTATATAGGCCTCTGATGATTGCAATGACTGATTTGATGACAAAAACATTTCTAGCTACTGGTAGCTGACTTCTGACATACTGCATTTACTGTTAGTTGGTTCATTTGCATAGTTAGGATAGGATGTGTCTTTTTGCCTGTACCACTTTCATCAGTGATGCCTGCTTGCTCTGCAAAGCTTTGTGTAGTGATGTCTACTGCCTTCTCTCCTAATTTCTAACCTAAAATATTTAAGGTTTCACCAGGCAAGATACACTTGTTAATCTGACTCATTCTAGCTCCTTCTCATGGTACAGTGCTAGTGTGTGTTAGGGAATATTTGCAGAGGCAAGGGTACCTTTAAAATTATTAAGGACACACTGAGAGATTCTGATTTAACTTGGCTATGGGCTTATGTATTGTCCAGTTGGTTCTAAGAATGTGCACTTTGCAAACATGATCCTGGTCCAAAAATGCATATTGGACAGTACCAGAACATGCCTGGAAGTATCCTGCAGCCTGGCAATATGTTGCCTATGTTACTGTGTCACAGGATGCTCTAAGGTTAACACAGCCCCAAATAGCATGGCTTCTTTTGCGGCACCAAATCTGGAGGAGTCTTTCTCCTATATTAAGAAAATGTGAATGACTGGTATGCCATTCAACCATAGTAAGATCTCCTAATCCTACATCACCCCTCAGGAATTCTGTTAGGCAGTTACACGCAAGTTTCGCTATCCTGTCAGCTAGCAACAGGCAAATCCTGCTTTACAAGCTGCTTGTGTGCTGAATATATCAGTCTGAGGTGTACTTATCAAGCAAAGCTTTGCTGCTAGTATTTGCTGCTAGTAAACCAAACTTAGTGATTTTCCCTACTGAATTATATTAAAATGTACTTTTAAAAGAAAACAAAATTATTTCTTGACAAAAAAAATTCATCTGTTCCAGCCAAGACTTGGAGTATTAGTTCCCCCAATATGTCTGGTGTATTCCTTCTGAAATGATTATCACTGGCATTTACCAAGCAGTTGAACTACTAAGAGATGTTCTATTAAACATCTCCAAAAGGCTCCTCAATAGTTTTACTTCTTTCTTCATCTCCTTATGACAATATGCAGCCTGTAAATCAATGAAAATATCTATTTCTTCTTCTGGTTGGGTTGAAATATCTGTAGAATATTACTGGCCATTTTAACTGCTCTTTTTATAGCTACCTTCAGTCAATGCTTATAGGCCCTCTCTCTTTCTTCTGGGGATATACGTACTCAACACCAACATAATTTTGTTATAAATGTCAGCAACATTTGGGGCTTCTGCTATTCCGTTGATTAAAGAATCCCTGACATCCTGATATATCCTTGCACTGGGACCCAACTCAGCTTTCACAGACTGAGTTAAAAAGGCAATTTCCAGCTTTACATTTGTTCAGAAGCTGAGAATACTGAAAATTAAAGATGATTGGTTTTGAGAGGGTTTGTCTAGATCCTTTGAACCTCTATGAAGGTTCTTTGAGTGACTACAGAAGTTTTGTTGTTCAACTTAAATATACATACATACTCTTCCTCCTTTTTTTTTTTTTTAATCTAGGAGTCAGTTGCCTAAGCAGCAGTTACTTCAAGGTTATTTCTGAGCAGATAAATGAATTCCGAAATACTGAAAATACTTAAGCCTTAAGCCTGAAATAGTAAAATTGATCACCCTCCATTTTTTAAAATTGTTTAAGATGTGAAGAAAGGTAAAGATATGTTATGAATTGTGTACCTCGTGAGTCTCACACTAGGAATTAGTGTTGGTTTTATTTTTATTTTATCCTAACAGGCCAAAATAGGAGAAAAATAATGTTTTGTTTAGCAGTGTTTTTATTACTGGACTGATTAGTTCTTAGGATTGGTCACTTTGCCTCACAGCTTTTTGACTTTATGAAACCAATCTAATGGAAAGTAGGAATCGATTGATAGAACTGAAGCAACATTCAGTCATTACCTTGTTTCCTTTAGGACATGCTAAAATGAAGGAATCCTAGGTAATAAATCTCTGATGTAAATTAGACCATACGTTGTAGTAAAATAAGATACTTTAATGCTCAGATTAATCATTAATGAAATCTATGGTACTTTTCAATTAAGTCACTGATTAATATCTATAGAATAAAATCAAAAAGTTGATAAGACTAACCACTGCCTGATAGCAAGACATGTCTGAAAGTATAAGAAAATTCTTTTTTCTTAAACTGAAGTTTGACATCTGCAAACTATACCTTCGCCTTTCTACTCTCTACCTCAATTTGCTTTCTGTACTGTTGACTTCGTGCTTTGGACAAGCTAACATGGATGGGAAGGTGAAGTGGCATGAAACTTACAAGAATGTAAGGCTTGTTTCCATCTTTGTCCCACGTAGCCTGTCCTGTTAGTAATACAGTGTTTTGAGTGCTTGTGGTGTTGTCTAGCTTAGGAATTATAGTGATGTCTGTATTGTTAAGCATAGATTGCAGGGCCCTTTGATCTGTTTCATATGAAGATGAAAGTTAGAAACTCACTCTGAAAACCAGTGATTTTGACAGAACTTGAAAATATTATCTAAGAGTTCCCTAAAGGATCAGAAGTCTTGTTGTCAAGGAAAAAAGTTACTTGAGCCTCCTTTTGCTTCTCTGACCTTTGAACAGTTATGGTCCAGGACTGTCAGAGAGCTCAGGACTAGTAGCACATCAGCTTTGTCAGTCCATCTTTTGTAGCCCTCCTCATTCTTCCTTCCTTTCCATCCTGATAAATTTCCTGTTGCCCCATGTGGAGGAATACCTGTGTACTTAAACTGCATACAATTATTAAATGTGGAAGTAAGTAGTGCTAGTACTGTGGTAGAACATTTATTTTCTACAAGACCTTCAGTTTTCCTCCGTTCATGTATTTTTTTTAATTCTTTATTTCTGCTGGTTATAAAGGGATGGCTAGCCGTTTGTTATTAGGCTATTTTATACATTTGCCTTGAATCAAGGCAAGTTTCTTGTTGTAATTGACTTACTGTAATTAGCACACTGATGTTTACTTCTAGGAGAATCTGATCTCAATGGAGCAATAACAGAAGCAGGGAAAACTTACGAAGAAATTGCCAGTCTTGTAGCAGATCAGGTAGGAATATTATGAATGCAATGGTGTAGTGTGTACAAACATATAAGCTATTTGGATTATTTCTGACTTTTCTTTTTTCCTCTTCAATTAAAACATAGCTGCTAGTGCTATAGACCAATTAAATTGCTGTTAACACTTTTAACTACATTTTCATCTTCTTTTCTACTCAGTGTCATCTCAGGGGGAATGTGATGAGAGGGCAAACAGGACAAACAGAGATGTGATTTCTATTGGTCAGAAAGCCCACTTTCTGGTTTCTAAAGTACTAAAATGATTGTTTGGTCTTTAAACATGTTCATTTTTTTATGTCTGTGAACTGTCTTCATTACTGACACAAAAGAATGATATTTAATCAAGGAAAGAGTTTCTGCCTTCCCTCTTCATTCCCCACATGTCTACAGGATCCAGATTTTGCTGTTGTTCCATGTGGGGGAATACCTGTGTACTGAACCTGCTTCACTGCCTTGACATGCAGTTGCCTGCTTCAGTAAAAGTCTGGCTTAAATAAACCTTGATTGGTATTGGAAACACAATTTGATGTTTAAAATTGATGTTTAGCATGTTATACTTAAAGTCTCCAAAATGCAGATCCTCTTTATCTCAAAGTTGAGTCTGAAATTTCTTAAAACATCTTTCTACATTGACAACTAAGGAGATGCACCTGTGCATGTACATGTTTGTATATGTAATGAGAGACTGTACTGGAAGCTCTTCTTGGGTGAAAAGGCAAAACCCCATCACTTCACAAGCTAGTGTTAAATGAAACAAAGAACATAGGCATCTGCACAATGGTGCTCAGTGACTTGTTCTAAAAAGCTTATATTTTTTAAAAAACCCTTTTCATCTATGAAAAACTTGCATAAACAGTTAATATTTTGTTTTGGGTTTTCTCAATTGTTTCCTTCCCTTTTTTCCCCTTTGCCCTTTTGTGGCATCATAGTTTCTTTTCTGTGATGTTAATTTGCCACAGGTACATTTACTTACACTTATGCTTTGTTTATTAGCCAAAGAAAGATCTCCACTTTTTGATGGAAACAAATCATGAATATAAGGGATTTCTTGGTTGCTTCCCTGACATCATAGCAGCACATAAGGTATGTCAAGGGCCTTTCTTTTTAAGGGCTAGTCAGTGGGGACAGCAGCAAAAGTGGTATGGCACCCTGCATTTGTGCAGCAGCCTGGCCCCTGCTGCTGAAACACTGTAAGTTTCTGTGACACTGGTGTGTTGATTTTTAAAATGAAAAGTACTTAGAGGGAAGAAAAACTAGAAATTCTTTCAAGAATATCACGACATTCTGCTACAGTAGAGCGGTAGAAGGTTCATGATTTTCTTCAGGTTGACTTCATGTCCCAGTGGGGTGAATAGCAGTAGTGTAAATTTGTAATATTTGAGCCTTATGTGATAGTTGATCATAAAACCATATGAGTATTGTAGGAAAACTTATGTTCACTTGCGTGGCTGGCTTGCTGATATGTGATAAATAGTATTGCACTGCATTGAAGTTTCTTTAATATCAAGAACCAGACACCAGAGCTAAACTCTCATATTTCTGGGGAAAAAAAACCCGAACAAAATACCAGCAACAAAACCCAACCATTTTGCTTTCTGTAGTACAAAATCTATGGTGTGTAGTTTTGGATAGTCTTCCTTTTTTTTTGGTCATAGATTTTTTCTTACGATCATGTGTTTGCTGCAATGTATTTAAGGAAACGAAATATTGTGAAGTATTAAAACAAGTGCACAAATATGTGGGGTTAGGATTTTTGATCACTTGAAGTATTAAATGTATAAAACAAGAATATTAGAATATACTTCTGAGAGCAACAAAGATGAAAGCATATCAGATTTGTGTATTCTTTCTTCAGGACATTTGCAGTCCCTCATCCCACAGAATCATTGGGGGAAAATATCATAAAAGGAGAAGAAATGTTTTTAAAACTTGAAACATAGGCCTACTGCCAAGAGACATGTAAATAGATTCTCTTGCATGTTTTTTGGCACAAATGCATTGTGTAGGAGAGGCATATCTTTTTATGCTTGTAACTTGTGTGACTCGAGGATTTTCCTGAATCAATGGCTATACATTGCAATGAGTTGTAATCTCTTGAAAAACAGTGTTATGTTGCCTTCTCTTGTAAAATGTACAAAGATGGTTATACGAGCTTTTGAATGTCAGCTATGTTGGTCATCTGCAATTTGTAGCTTGGTCCATTTGTCCTTTTTGTATATATCCTTGTGTATTATTGCCTGTACCAAACACAATTTGCTGATAATTCTGATCATGCCTGTGTTTGTTTGCAAGGACTCTTGGAATCAATAAAATGAAATAACAACCTTTGGATGAAAATGTGAGAAGGCAGAATCGATCCATTTTGCGTACATACGTGTACTGAATGCAAACTCAAAATGTAGCTAGTGGCATTTTAGATTACTATGAACACCCCTAAGTTGACTGCTCTTTTAATCTTTCTGCATTTTGTTTCTACAGGGAGCAATAGAAAGAGTGAAGGAAAGTGACAAGTTAGTTGCAACCAGTAAAATAACACCACAAGACAAACAGAACATGGTGAAACGTGTGAGCACCATGGCTTATGCACTACAAGGTAAACCAAATTTTGAGCTAAATGGCAGTGTTGTAGACTTCTGGAGGACTTCTGTGTTTTTCTAAATTGCAGTTATTTTTGCATCTCCTTTTTTTTAAAATCTCACATTGCTGTTACAAAAGACACATATTTTGAAAATGCAGTTTAAAAACCCCAAAAGAAATTCCCCAGGCTGATACTTTGTTTTGGAAGTGATAATATCTCAGATTAAAAACATGGACCCTGGTGCACAAAGCAGGTCATCATTAGCAGAAGTGTTTTTCTGACTTTTAGTTTAGTCAGACATAATACATCTCCCAGCTGAGATTCATGTTTTTTTTGGATAAGATCTTTATATCCTGGATGTGTTTTGGATGATCTTTTTCCTCTTTAGGTTAGAGGTGTTTTAAATAGAAGGTGTAGCACACCGCACTAGAAAAATTGGCAAAGTGAGGAGTCAGGGCTCAGTCCTGCAGGATATCAAGCCATTAAGTGCACCCTGTTACTGACTTGAATAAGATTACTGAGGGGGTTGCATCATTTTTAGATGATTTAAAGCTAAGAGTACTTGATATGTTATGTGATGAAGTCAGAGCAGCACACAAAATTGATTTTAAAAGCAACCAAGAAAACTCCCCATCTCCTTCCTCTTAGTCACAGTGATGCAAGAGGATTGTGTTTTATGTGTGGTAATTGTGGAAGAGACGTCTAGGATGACTTTTACAATGTAGCATTTTTTTTCTCCCTCCATTGACATACCAAAACATATTTAACAACTTCTTTCAGCCATAAGCTGTGATCTGAGAAGAGATGTAGAAATTGGTGTAAGGTGTTACAAATTCAGTAATGCTGTTTCTCAAGTATCTATTGAAACAGCGTAAGTCAAGAAGGAGTCACACATTACTGGTTGTATCTTTTTTGTTCTTTTTTGTTGAGCTAAGTATTTACAGTTGTGGCTTACATCTTGATAGCTATACCCTTAGAAATCTGAATGTCCAAGCCAAAATTCTGTTTGAAACCCTTCAGGAAGGAACAATTACCACAGTAGAAGAAAATCCTGATTGTATTTTTTATCAAATCTTTGTGCACCTGAGTATTGTAATACAAGAACCTGGCTTTGTCCAGGAAGTTCCCAAGTTGGTGTGTAATTGACGCGCTACCAATCTGACAAACAGTTCCACTATAACTTGAGTGCTGCAGGCAGAACAGGTTGTGGAAGCATGAGAACAGTCCTCCCCTGCTGGTAGGGCTGGACACTGAGCTTGCTGCAGAGTAACTAACTTGAACTGAGTGAAACTGTTCCTAATTATAAATGCTTCTGTTAAATAATTTGTCTCCTGGGTCTGATTGCAGCTGAGATGAATCACTTCCACAGTAACCGGATCTATGACTACAACAGCGTCATTCGTCTCTATTTGGAGCAGCAGGCACAGTTCTATGAAACGGTAAGGGACAGGGCTTCAGCACTGTTTGCTTGGCATGTACTCTGCTGCTACTTTTACAGGAAATACAGGGTTTAATCCATGCTCCCACAGAGCAGATATCTGAAGAATTGAACAAAAACTTGTAAAAGGAATTGAAAGAACCCTGAAAACTGACGGAGTGAGTTAAAATAATATTTTCCTATAGATACTGTCCTAGGTACATGATTGTTACAATAAACCCATTAGAACTAAGAACCACTGTTCAGAAACCACATTGTTGATAGCTTGATTTTTTTTCTTCCCCTCAAATGCCAGTATTAGGGTTACAAAGAATTGTAGTTCTCTGATTTAGTTCAAGCAAGGCCTGCTGCACTGAACAGAACAATGAAACATTTCAACAAAACTTTCCTCCCATAGGATGGGAGTGAGAATGGAAGCTTTTGTTATTTAAAGTCTGATGTATACAAGTGTGGGGCAGGAGGGACAGGAATGTTTCAGGTGACATTAAATATTTTAAATCTGAGCACTCTCTCTACCACTGTAATTCTCATTTAACAGTGTTCTAATGCATGTATCCTTTGTGATTTTTAAAAATAAACCAAGAACAAAGCTTCTAATATGATATCCTGGTAAAACCATTTGAGTTTGAATGTGTTGCAGCCTGACTTTTATCACTAAAAGGAGTCTCATAAGTAACTGGTGCCCCTTCACAGCTATAAAAATTGCCAGTGTAGCTTCAGAGTTATCTTTAGTGGGTGATAACTGTAGGTCCCCCATCAGGTCACTTTGCTTACTTTGCTTGACACATCTGGTGGGGTTAGGCATAGGTTGCCCCTTACCATCATTCAGCCTCTTGTCCAGTCTATTTCAATCCTTCTTGGTTGCAGCCTCACCAGTTTTCTTCTATCAATGCTTTCTCCCCCAGTAGGTGTTCACATGTGGGGTCATGGCTACCATGAGAACTGTGGGGAGTGCACAGTGCATCTGTTTTGATATTTCAGCCTTGCTTCAGCAGGGAGGTGGGCTTCCTGGAAAATCTGTTCCTGTAGCTCTCTGGTGCAGTGCAGTGCTAGACAGGCAGAATAACAGCCCTGTTTTCTCCAAAACAACTGGAGCAGTGAAAGTACCAAATTAACAAGGCATAAAGTGTATATATGAGAAGTCGTTACCATGGAATATTTTGAGAGTCCTGCATACACAAAATCTGAAGTAATGCCTGCAGTTTTTCATCACATGAAGGAACACCTAATTTCTTAGCCTGAAATCATATTTCTGCACAGTGTAAAGTGACTACATATTAAATATCTTCTGTTTCTTTGTTTCAGATTGCACAGAAGCTGAGGCAGGCACTCAGCCGCTTTCCTGTGATGTAGAGAATAAGAAGTATTCAACAATATAGAACAACTCCAAAGTGCTTTTCTGATGTGGGGGCAATGCTAATAAAAAGTTATTAGCCTTTGCAAAAAAAAAACAAAACCCAAAAAACCCCAAACCAACAAGAATCAGTTGCAAAAAAAAGTATTATTTCAAATTTTACTTTATTGACCTAAGTCATACAATAAGGCTTTTCTGTCTTGAAAGCTCTCCCATTTGTTTTATCATTATTTAAATTAAAACAGCTGTGTAATGCTGTCAGTTATAGGGATCTAAATTATCAAACTGATATGTTGCCATGGACTTCACAAAGACTTGTTTGTCAGATGTTCTTCCAAAAATTGTGGATCCACACCAGAGCGATGCATTTGTAGCTTTTTTTCTAAATGGGAAAGCAGACAAACTTAAGAAGTTGACCTAATACTCATTATATTCAGTTGAGCTCTCCAGCAATTCAGTAACCAGGAGGAATTATATTCATGTATGTTTCTGGCACATGGTTGTGATAATCTCCTGAATGAATGCTTTGTTCTTAAGTTTTTCTTCCCATATGCAGCCATGGCATCCTGCTCTCAGTATGACTTCTGGTAAATATAAATCATTCTTCCCTCTCTTCTTTTTCCTTCTAACTAAATCTAGTTCTTGTGGCGCATCACCTCAGAGCTTATGTCAGGCTCACTTTTTCACTATGCACTGTGTAAGAAGACAAAGTCCAAACAAGGAACGAGCCATTCAGGAAAGTGTGAAAAATAGTTTTCCATACCAGCACTTTGACACCCCCAATGTCATGCCATAAGGCACTGATGTTTCTCAGTGCTGTACAGGGCCAGCTTCCCCTCTGACAGTTTGTAGTGTTTCAGCAGAGGGGACAATGCCACATCTAACCCCAACTAGTAGACATCCCCAAATTCCAATTAAGCTCAGGTCTTCATGTAGTAGTAGGGCGTGCTATTGGTTCAGGTTAACTTTTTGTTGCCTTCTAATGCAAACTCAAAGGCAACAAAAGTACTGAATAACATCATTAGTTATTACACAAACTCTGTTCTTTGAGCATCATCTTTTATCAAGTGACTCAGTATCCTCCTCCATACTACTGAAATACCATTTGAGGCCTTGGCTTTTCACAGAATCAAACCAAAAAAAGTCACCATCAACTGTGATCACAATGGGCACCAAGTACAGTAATTAATTTCTTGCCATAAGCAAGCAGGAAAGCCAAAACGCAGTTTCTACTAGAATGTGCCTAGAAAATAAATATTTTAGTTTAAAAAAAAGGCATTTTACCAATAAGCCATTCTAAGTGACGGGTACAGTCTGCCAGTTCAATAGTTGCCTTACTCTGTTTTGCATTGGTGTTATATTTCTGTGCTAGAAGGAAAATCTCGGTCTGCCTGAATAACCTGAAACCAAACCAAACCAAACCAGACTAAGCCTAAGTCTAGATGCTTCTCAGTGTCATGAGTTTTGTTCACCTTTTATAAACCTTGTCTTTTTCTTCTCCCAATTTTAGTTTGCTTCCAAAATTCCATAGTGCAGTGTTGTTTGATACAGCCATTTAAATATGTACAAATTGTAAAGAATGTGTATAAATGTTTTACACCAAATGTAAGATCTGCTTGCATGTAGAAGCAGCTTATATAATAAATTGTTACAATGTGTACAGTAAATTCTGAAATCACTTTCTCAAGCCAGCATTTTTTTAGCATTTGTATATTCACTTTTTGGTAATGAAATCTCTTTGTAACAGACTCTTCATTTGGGAGGGGGAAGGGGGTTCTTTTTACCAATCCTTAAATAGCTCCATATGCACTAAAGTTGAAAGCTCTTTATCTTGAATAGATTGTTTTGGAATCTTAAGTGTAAGCTCTGCATTCCCAGTGTAGGGAAGGCTATGACAGTAGCAACTGTGTCAGATGCAACATTTTGGCAAAAAAAAAACCAACCAAACAAAAAAAAAAAAAAAAAAAAAAAAAAAAAACCAACCAAACAAAAAAAAAAAAAAAAAAAATCGCAAAAAACCCGAAAACAACAAACTGTTTAAAGATTTCTAGTACAATGAAGTTAAACTGATAATAAATATTTATGTATATCCACCAGACTATTTTATCTTTTATTTTTTTTTAATCATCATGTTGGTTTTTAACAGGTTGAATGCAGTATTAGGCAAATCCTGCAGGTAGCTTTTCACCAGCTTACACGGGCCAGCTGAGGAATGAGGAAGCATCCATGTGTCTTCCATAAAGCAGGCATCCCAACTGGATGGTATAATACTGCTAGTGACTGCAAACCAGCAAAGGCTATGCATATGTTGTAAGCTTTCTTTATTCAGGTCAGTCCAGCTCATGGTTGATGGAACCCTCCTGACTGCAAATAAGTAGTAGAGCACAGTGCTACTCTGTATTCCTGGCTTTGTGTCAGCATGGTGTTTACCCAGAATAGAAATTTGATTGTCTTCGATATTTGTTTTTTAAATTAGACATGAATAGTGACATCATTTAATAGTATGAGTTGGGAGAAACAGAAAATGTGCACACTAAAGATGTAGTCATAAAACAGAAATAGCAAGTTAGTGCAAGGCTTGAGCAGTGCTATCCTGTGTTTTGTTTGTCATTGCTGAATAATTAGTGTCTGCAGCATCAACAAGTCTTACTACTGTTTCCTGGCTTATGTTTTCCTTCCAGGGAGAGCCAAACACTGGCATTAGCCCAGTGACTTCATAAAAGACATCAACTGCCCAAGCTGTTTGGTTTAACTTTATACATTAATTGCATATTCTGTTACTGCAACTACATCCATTTTTTAAAAATAAAAATATAGCTGTACAGAGAGGAAGGATACCTGCATTTCTTGTTGGCAATCTAACATGATATTAGACTGCAGCAGCAGACTCTGTGACAGGGTGTGGTTTTGGAGGTGTACTGTTGACTGCAATTAGAGAGTTCTTCAATAAGACCTAACTTCATGTGAGTCTGGAAATTTTTACACTCCTGAGCAATTTCTGTTTTCTGTGACAAGATAATTGAGAAAGTTCTACCATAACATATGTTGATTTCTCTCAGTGTTCCGATGGTCAGGATGACCCCAAGAGATCGTAGAGTCTATGTTCCCTAGTCCGATGCAGTCAAAGAAGGAGCCTGGAATGCGTCCAGTTGTGCTTTCAAGGTTGTTTATTTTTTCTGATCTATAACATTCTTTCTCTGACCTGCTGAGGTATATCCAGAAAGGAAGCCATGGCCATCTACCCCCGAGCCTTGAGCGGCTCCCACCTTATATACTCAAAACTACGTGAGTATGTTTACAATTTATTTGCCAATTCCCATCACCCATGTTAGACCGTGAATCTCAAACTAATAGCAAAGTGCCGCCATCACACCAAGTCGTGGAGGACAAGACAAAGGAGAAGGCTAGGACGCACCCAAGTGACTCCATCTTGTACTGACTTGAACCCCATTGTAAAAATCCCAAAATTCAACTTTTCCACCCTGTGTTGGTTCAAATATCACACTACTAAAACCCTTGTGACTTGTAATTCCTCATACAAAATTGACATCTTTTTCCACAGGCTAAAATTGAAGCTACAGCTGTTTTTGACTTCTTGCCAAGGTCTCCAAGACCCCTGCCAGGGTCTTGAGACAGCCAGGACAGCCAGAGGGGATGTCCTGGACTCTGCTAAACATACACTCAATTCTGTAAATCCGAATTAAGTAATACATCAATTTTACTGTTACCAAAATTAGACTAGTTCAGGCTCTTAGAAGGAATTCAGACTAACAGACTTGTAAGGGCAACTCTCGCAAAGGAAAAGCTGCAGCTCTTGTACTGTGGCTGAGTTTGACATACACCAGACACTGCCAGTCTGGACTGGCCAAAATTACTCCCTCCACAGCCTCAGGAAGTGCAATTCAGCAGCAAGGAAAGCATTCACTAGGCAAGTGTCCTGCCACCACTGCTTCTGCCTTTTGTAGGGCTTCCCATGAAGACGTGTGCATGCACCAGGCAGAGGCTGCTTAGTTGGCAAGGGGCAAGGGGGTCTTTGGTCAGTGGTTTTTTTCACGTACTTTCCTAGAACTCTTCTGCACCTAAGGTAACCACTTGAGCAGAAAAAAAACTCTTTTCCTGTCTAAACAGCCCTAACAAAAACAACCTTATAGAATTAGAAATATATTGGTTGGCTGGTGACCAATCCACCCATTCTGTCACGTGGCAATGTCAGTTACACCCATGCTGTTTTAAAGAACATCTGAGTCACAGCTTGGATTAGCTGGTTTTTCCCTTTTTTTTTTCCCTCCGGCTCTTTGCACTTGAGTTGTGACTCTGAGATTTTGCAGTATCTTTAGGATACTGAATTTAAACTGGCTTAATTTCTTTGTCCTATAAAGAATGTGTTTGCCTATTTTTAATCTTCTGGGCCTTTTAATCTTTCCTGATTGGCCAGATTTTTTTAAACTATCCTAAATTTTTTGTGTTCCTTCTGATTCCAGCTAGTATTCTTACTGCCTTCCTGCTGAACTTTCTGAACTCTAGGTTCTTCTCATTTACAGATTTAAAAACTGATTGCTTCACAATAGGATTTATTAGTTTCTTTGAACTGATGCTGTCTATCTGAAGCCATCTTTCTCATTTTTACTAAATATTGTTCTTCCCATATTCTAACCTGTGCCTGTATTCCGTTAAAATACATTTTTGTATGTCACAGACTTCTGTCAGGGCTGAAGCAAGACTGCATGTAATACTTATTATTTTCTGTTAGCAACAGACTTCTGCTACCCTTTTATACCTACCATCTTCAACAACTATTAATTTTTTAAATAAATTTGCTAATAAACTTGTCATAGCACACATTTGTCAGTTCAAGGTCACTTTTAATTCACATTGCCTTCTGTTGCAATTAAATCTCAGTAGATCTCAATCTAAAATTGTTACTTTTCAGTGGTTTTTAGTTTTGTGAAATGTCATTCCCAAAAACTCCAAATATTTGATTAACTGTTTTCCTAAAAAGTATGTAATTCTAAAGATGTAATTAAGTTGCTAGCTCCAAGAGGTTAGAGGTTATCTTAGAAGAATAACAAACAAAAGGATTTAAAAAATAACAGAAAATATAGAAAGATTGTGGGACTTTTTAAAAAGCAGTTTTAAGTGATTTGCTTTATTTTGAATTGTATTTTAGTTATTTGACTTTAGTTATTGACCTGTCCCTATTAAATTGCTTGTCAGAGCATTCCATCACACCCACCTGTGTGATTATGTGATGCCTCAATGACTAATGAGTTTGATCACTCACAGGAGACACAAAAATAGTGGGACAGCAGACTGAAGTTTATAGAATGAGGATTGTAAATAACATGCTCTCTTCCTTTTGATAGCAAAGGAGAGGATAAAGGGGTTGAAAACAGGGCAATAATAAATTGGCAGACAACACAAGCCTTTTATTTGTGACCCATTTATAACAGTATATTGAAGAAAACCAGTCTGTTTAAAGAAACAAAACAAAAACAGTTGTGGATGAAACTGGATACTAAATATAACAGTACTTCCAATGGCAAAGCTAAATATCAGCCTTCATTTAATCTGTAATTATATCAATATTTAGGTTTGTTAAGGTACTAGCTGTTGTATTCTATAGCCCTTGGTATAACGAGTAGTAGCAGTTTCTAGGACTATGAATTATTTGGAATAGTAATTATGTAAAATAATTTGCAAATAATATTACCATTTCAGATACAGTTCAAGAAACACAAATTCTTTGTAATATATGTAAATCTAGATAGAAGTTGATCTCTTAATCCTATTAAATGAAAAGATAAATGTATCACTTTCATCATGTTCAGTTTTCTGCTTCGTATTTTGGAGGAAGAGTATCTCCCTGTTCCCATATGATCCTTGTGCATTGCCTGCTCATCAAGACCTTTTTGGACCCATCAAAATTTATTGCACTTCTGACATACATTGCACTACATTCACTTTGTTGGCATCTCTGAAACCCTGTATCTGCTGTAGGGCAGGAGAGGGTCATTGCTGGTATGTTCTTGCCATTTTATAAGACTCTTGTGAGAGCTTTGGTAAGCACAGCACCCCCTTCAATACTATCAGCACTCACAGCAGTACTACAAATCTGAAATAAACACTGACATTTCTTAAAGTCCCTTAAAATTCTTATATGAGAATCCAAACCTTGTGTTTGGTTGGGGTTTTTAAATATGTCACTATAATGTCCAATGACAAGCTGGAAACAAAGTCCAAAATGAGAGTGATGCTGTTTATCCAAACTTCATCTATCTATATTTTATTATCTTTATTATCTTTAATCAAATTCCAAGCTAAACACAGAATCTTGTCACGTTTAGTGTATCCAGTAACTCATCAAGTTAACTCTTGGAAAAGGAAAAGCTGCCTCAAAAGTAAGGGCCAAACAGGGGTGAGGGTCATTTTTCTAACTGTTTACTAGTTTTGACTAATTGAGTCATATTTTTAAGCTCAGTAAAGATTTTGTTTAAAAATTCAATGGCTGGGATGAAAACTTAAACATAGCATCTGTTGCAATATAGTAGGAAAATATAAACCAGGCTGCTTGCTGCTGGGATGGATTTGCTGAGCTTGACACACTGCCCCAGAAGATTCCCATCTGACTGCACTCACCAGGACTGCACCATTCCAGACTGGTTATGCCAGCAGAGAAAAC